CCTGAGTGAGAGACACCCGCAGCGTCACCCCCCTAGTGAGAGACACCCCCAGCGACACCCCCCCTGAGTGAGAGACACCCCCAGCGTCACCCCCCTGAGTGAGTGACACCCGCAGCGTCACCCCCCGAGTGAGAGACACCCCCAGCGTCACCCCCCTGAGTCAGTGAACCCCCAGCGTCACCCCCCTGAGTGAGAGACCACCCCCAGCATCACCACCCCTGAGTGAGAGACACCCCCAGCGTCACCCCCTGAGTGAGAGACACCCCCAGCGTCACCCCTCTGAGTGAGAGACACCCCCAGCGTCACCCCCCTGAGTGAGAGACACCCCCAGCGTCACCCCCCTGAGTGAGTGACACCCCCAGCATCACCCCCCTGAGTGAGAGACACCCCCAGCGTCACCCCCCCGAGTGAGAGACACCCCCCAGCGTCACTCCCCTGAGTGAGAGACACCCCCAGCGTCACCCCCCGAGTGAGAGACACCCCCAGCGTCACCCCCCCCGAGGTGAGAGACACCCCCAGCGTCACCCCCCTGAGTGAGTGACACCCCCAGCGTCACTCCCCTGAGTGAGAGACACCCCCAGCGTCACCCCCTCGAGTGAGAGACACCCCCAGCGTCACCCCCCCGAGTGAGAGACACCCCCAGCGTCACCCCCCTGAGTGAGAGACACCCCCAGCGTCACCCCCCTGAGTGAGAGACACCCCCAGCGTCACCCCCCTGGGTGAGAGACACCCCCAGCGTCACCCCCCTGAGTGAGTGACACCCCCAGCGTCACCCCCCTGAGTGAGAGACACCCCCAGCGTCACCCCCCTGGGTGAGAGACACCCCAGCGTCACCCCCCTGGGTGAGAGACACCCCCAGCGTCACCCCCCTGAGTGAGAGACACCCCCAGCGTCACCCCCCTGAGTGAGAGACACCCCAGCGTCACCCCCCTGAGTGAGAGACACCCCCAGCGTCACCCCCCTGGGTGAGAGGACACCCCCAGCGTCACCCCCCTGAGTGAGAGACACCCCCAGCGTCACCCCCCAGAGTGAGAGACACCCCCAGCGTCACCCCCCCTGAGTGAGAGACACCCCCAGCGTCACCCCCCTGAGTGAGTGACACCCCCAGCGTCACCCCCCTGAGTGAGAGACACCCCCAGCGTCACCCCCCTGAGTGAGTGACACCCCCAGCGTCACCCCCCCGAGTGAGTGACACCCCCAGCGTCACCCCCCTGAGTGAGAGACACCCCCAGCGTCACCCCCCTGAGTGAGTGACACCCCCAGCGTCACCCCCCTGAGTGAGTGACACCCCCAGCGTCACCCCCCTGAGTGAGAGACACCCCCAGCGTCACCCCCCTGAGTGAGTGACACCCCCAGCGTCACCCCCCTGAGTGAGTGACACCCCCAGCGTCACCCCCCTGAGTGAGAGACACCCCCAGCGTCACCCCCCCTAGTGAGTGACACCCCCAGCGTCACCCCCCTGAGTGAGAGACACCCCCAGCGTCACCCCCCTAGTGAGAGACACCCGCAGCGTCACCCCCCTAGTGAGAGACACCCCCAGCGTCACCCCCCTGAGTGAGAGACACCCCCAGCGTCACCCCCCTGAGTGAGTGACACCCCCAGCGTCACTCCCCTGAGTGAGAGACACCCCCAGCGTCACCCCCCTGAGTGAGTGACACCCCCAGCGACACCCCCCTGAGTGAGAGACACCCGCAGCGTCACCCCCCTAGTGAGAGACACCCCCAGCGACACCCCCCTGAGTGAGAGACACCCCCAGCGTCACCCCCCTGAGTGAGTGACACCCGCAGCGTCACCCCCCCGAGTGAGAGACACCCCCAGCGTCACCCCCCTGAGTCAGTGACACCCCCAGCGTCACCCCCCTGAGTGAGAGACACCCCCAGCGTCACCCCCCTAGTGAGAGACACCCCCAGCGTCACCCCCCTAGTGAGTGACACCCCTAGCGTCACCCCCCTGAGTGAGTGACACCCCCAGCGTCACTCCCCCGAGTGAGAGACACCCCCAGCGTCACCCCTCTGAGTGAGAGACACCCCCAGCGTCACCCCCCTGAGTGAGAGACACCCCCAGCGTCACCCCCCCTAGTGAGTGACACCCCTACCGTCACCACCCTGAGTGAGTGACACCCCCAGCGTCACTCCCCCGAGTGAGAGACACCCCAGCGTCACCCCTCTGAGTGAGAGACACCCCCAGCGTCACCCCCTCTGAGTGAGAGACACCCCCAGCGTCACTCCCCCGAGTGAGAGACACCCCCAGCGTCACCCCCCTGAGTGAGAGACACCCCCAGCGTCACCCCCCTGAGTGAGAGACACCCCCAGCGTCACCCCCCTGAGTGAGTGACACCCCCAGCGTCACCCCCCTGAGTGAGTGACACCCCCAGCGTCACCCCCCTAGTGAGTGACACCCCTAGCGTCACCCCCCTGAGTGAGAGACACCCCCAAGCGTCCCCCCCCCCCCTGAGTGAGTGACACCCCCAGCGTCACCCCCCTGAGTGAGTGACACCCCCAGCGTCACCCCCTGAGTGAGTGACACCCCCAGCGTCACCCCCCTGAGTGAGTGACACCCCAGCGTCACCCCCCTGAGTGAGTGACACCCCCAGCGTCACCCCCCTGAGTGAGTGACACCCCAGCGTCACCCCCCTGAGTGAGAGACACCCCCAGCGTCACCCCCTGAGTGAGTGACACCCCCAGCATCACCACCCCTGAGTGAGAGACACCCCCAGCGTCACCCCCCTGAGTGAGTGACACCCCCCAGCGTCACCCCCCTGAGTGAGAGACACCCCCAGCGTCACCCCCCTGAGTGAGTGACACCCCCAGCGTCACCCCCCTGAGTGAGTGACACCCCAGCGTCACCCCCCCTGAGTGAGAGACACCCCCAGCGTCACCTCCCTGAGTGAGAGACACCCCCAGCGTCACCCCCCTGAGTGAGTGACACCCCTAGCGTCACCCCCCTGAGTGAGAGACACCCCCAGCATCACCCCCCTGAGTGAGAGACACCCCCAGCGTCACCCCCCTAGTGAGTGACACATGACACACTGCAGAGCACACGACACGCTGCAGAGCACACGACACGCTGCAGAGCACACAACACGCTGCAGAGCACACGACACACTGCAGAGCACACGACACGCTGGAGAGCACACGACACACTGGAGAGCACACGACACGCTGGAGAGCACACGACACACTGCAGAGCACACGACACACTGCAGAGCACACAACACGCTGCAGAGCACACGACACGCTGCAGAGCACACGACACGCTGCAGAGCACACGACACGCTGCAGAGCACACGACACACTGCAGAGCACACGACACGCTGCAGAGCACACGACACGCTGCAGAGCACACGACACACTGGAGAGCACACGACACGCTGCAGAGCACACGACACACTGCAGAGCACACGACACGCTGCAGAGCACACGACACGCTGCAGAGCACACGACACGCTGCAGAGCACACGACACACTGGAGAGCACACGACACGCTGCAGAGCACACGACACGCTGCAGAGCACACGACACGCTGCAGAGCACACGACACGCTGCAGAGCACACGACACGCTGGAGAGCACACGACACGCTGGAGAGCACACGACACGCTGCAGAGCACACGACACGCTGCAGAGCACACGACACGCTGGAGAGCACACGACACGCTGCAGAGCACACGACACGCTGCAGAGCACACGACACGCTGCAGAGCACACGACACGCTGCAGAGCACACGACACGCTGCAGAGCACACGACACGCTGCAGAGCACACGACACACTGCAGAGCACACGACACGCTGCAGAGCACACGACACGCTGCAGAGCACACGACACGCTGCAGAGCACACGACACGCTGCAGAGCACACGACACACTGCAGAGCACACGACACGCTGGAGAGCACACGACACACTGGAGAGCACACGACACGCTGGAGAGCACACGACACACTGCAGAGCACACGACACACTGCAGAGCACACAACACGCTGCAGAGCACACGACACGCTGCAGAGCACACGACACGCTGCAGAGCACGCAACACGCTGCAGAGCACACAACACGCTGCAGAGCACACGACACGCTGCAGAGCACACGACACGCTGCAGAGCACACGACACGCTGCAGAGCACGCAACACGCTGCAGAGCACACAACACACTGCAGAGCACACAACACGCTGCAGAGCACACGACACGCTGCAGAGCACACGACACGCTGCAGAGCACGCAACACGCTGCAGAGCACACGACACACTGCAGAGCACACAACACGCTGCAGAGCACACGACACGCTGCAGAGCACACGACACACTGGAGAGCACACGACACACTGCAGAGCACACGACACGCTGCAGAGCACACGACACTCTGCAGAGCACACGACACTCTGCAGAGCACACGACACGCTGGAGAGCACACGACACGCTGGAGAGCACACGACACGCTGCAGAGCACACGACACGCTTGAGAGCACACGACACACTGGAGACGCTTGTGCACCGCGCGACGGTCCCGCGTGTTTGACCACATCAGGTGGTGGAGGGTTCTTAGCAACACAAATTTGTCCGATCATTCATTCATGACGTGGTGGCCTTGCACAAAAACCGGCTATGCATCTCACTGCTGCTCTCTGGCCTCCGCTGTTAGGGGATTCTAGTCCACCTGAGTAGGGCACCTCAGTAGCGAGCAGATGTTGACTCCCTCGCTTGGTATGCAGGAGGTCGTGGGTTCGATCCCGACCCAGACGCCTGCTGTATATTAGGATTTTGCACCTCTCTCTCCGTGGTTGCGTGGATTTTTCTCCGGGTCCTCTGGTCTTGCCCTACCCAATTGACTGCGATAAATTTCCACATGACGATAAGCCACTTGGTTGAGCTATCATTTGTGTGAGCCAGGTTGCTTCTGAAAAAGAGAGCGATATAGCAGCTCAGTAGAGCCTTGCCTGGTAAAAAAAAAAAAATAGTCGTGTTGAGCTGCGATGCTGACCACCCCTTGCTAATCTTTTTGCAGGCTGAACCGCTCCTGCTGGGATGTCTGAGGAGCTGTTCGTGCAGCAGGCCAAAGGGACGTGCGGCGACGGCGAGATGTGGCCCGAAGTCACGGTGAAAATCGAGAAGGATTCCTCGGGTAATCGTTTGCGACGTTCCCTGTGATTCGGCACTCGATGGCTAACGTCCGCGAGGTTTTACTTGCGACGACGGACAAAGAACGAATGCACGGGAGACGTCCTCTTGGTGTATGCTGTACGGTTGTTGTGTTGTGCATTGCGTGATGTGTGATGTATGGTACGTGGTGTGTGGTTGGTGTGTGTTATGTGGTGTGTTACGTCTGGTATGTGCTGTGTGGCGTGCTATGCATGTGGTGTGTGTGATGTGCGGTACGTATGGTGTATGTGGGGAACGGTGGCGCAGTGGTTAGCGCGCTGTGCTATGAACCTGGTGGCCGGAGTTTGATTCCTGCTGGTGGCCAACACCAGTGATGAGTCGACCTAGGGCCTCACCTAGGCCGCAAACGAGTACCTGGTGCGGTATGTAAAAACATCGCCACTGGGGAGACAAAGGCGGTCGGGCGTGGTGCTTGCCACCTACCCCCATGCGTACCATACCCAGCCTTCATTTGTGCTCGCGAACTGCACTTGCCCCAACAGTCTGTCAAGGTTACACGGGGGGTCTTTGTACATACGCATGTTGAACGTCTTTCGTGCACCGTACGTAGCCAATCGTGCCAATCGGGAGGCGCGGCGCGTGTGCGGCATACCGTATGCTGTGCCGCGCGGTGTGCTGCAGAAGACCACCACCAGGGCTACACGAGGCCGGACGAGGTGGAGGCCTGTCGGGGCAGCGGAGTGGTGCGGCCTGCGTGGGCGGAGGTGGAGGTGGAGCTGGAGGACACCAACGATGGTGGCAGCCCAGCTGTGGGACGGTGCGGGTTGGTGCACCACACACCGCACCCTCACCACACATCACCCTCCTCACCGTACCTCACCGTTCCTCACCATTCCTCACCCTCACCATACCTCACCTTCCTTTTCGCCCTTCTCTGTTCATCCAGCGCGATCCCGTCTTGCGTCGGTAACGGTTTAACAGAGCGCCCCTCCCTCTTTCCCCGTCCCCTCCCGGCTCGTGCAGACACCTTGGGCGCGGTCACGAAGACGCGCGTGTGGTGGTCCGACGCGGAGACCAGGGTCCTGCTGAAGCTCATCCAGGACATCAACGTGGGCACCATCCTCGACGGCAAGCGCCAGCGCAATGCCGCCGTCTTCAAGAAGATCCAGCGCGAGCTGTCGCTGCGCGGCGTCGAGAAGAACTGGGAGGCCGCCCGCTGGAAGTGGAAGGCCCTGAAGGCCAAGTACATCGCGGCCAAGCGCGCGATGGGCCGCAACGGCGCGGGCACCTGGACCAACTTCCGCTTCTACTCCGACATGGACAAGATCCTGGGCGGACGGCCCAACGCCCTGAGGGCGAGCGCTCACCTCCAGGGTACGTCCGCTTCTCGCGCTTTCTCTCTCGCTCCCCGCCCGTCGGCCGAGCGGCGGCGATGACATCACAGCGACACGGCACCGCGCGGGCCGTGCCTCCGAGGACGCGCGCTGCCAAATTTGTGTCCACGAGAGCCCCTTTCCACCGCCCGACAAGGTCGAGCGAATCGGACTGTCACGTGGTGCACGAGCGTTGTGATGTCACGCCGATTGCGATTGTTTGAGCTCGACCCGCCCGGTGAGTTTGAGAGCAATCCTCGCCGCGAAATTTGCTAAATTGTGGCAGCCGTCAACAACGTGATTCACTGTCGGGACCTCTTTCCTGCTGATCAGGGAACCGCGGTGGGAGAGCGTCGTGTGGGGGACGTGAAACTGAATGTTGGTAGCCGAGGTTACCCTCTGCTCTCCGCGGGAGTGGATTCCGTCCGCTGGCGATGCTTTCTGGCCGACGGATCGCGTGCGAGAAGGACGCGGTTTTGGTTGGGCTTCTCGGAGCGGTCCTCCTTGGGGAACGCAAACTCAAGCGCTCTGTGCCGCTCGCCGGTGCCTCCCGCGGTGTCTCCCGCGGTGTCTCCTGCGGTGCCTCCCGCGGTGTCTCCTGCGGTGTCTCCTGCGGTGCCTCCCGCGGTGTCTCCCGCGGTGTCTCCTGCGGTGTCTCCTGCGGTATCTCCCGCGGTATCTCCCACGGTGTCTCCCGCGGTATCTCCCGCGGTGTTTCTCGCGGTGTCTCCTGCGGTGTCTCCCGCGGTGTCTCCCGCGGTGTCTCCTGCGGTGTCTCCCGCGGTATCTCCCACGGTGTCTCCCGCGGTGTCTCCCGCGGTGTCTCCTGCGGTGCCTCCCGCGGTGTCTCCCGCGGTGTCTCCCGCGGTGTCTCCCGCGGTGTCTCCTGCGGTGTCTCCCGCGGTATCTCCCACGGTGTCTCCCGCGGTGTCTCCCGCGGTGTCTCCCGCGGTGTCTCCCGCGGTGTCTCCCGCGGTGTCTCCCGCGGTGTCTCCCGCGGTGTCTCCCGCGGTGTCTCCCGCGGTGTCTCCCGCGGTGTCTCCCGCGGTGTCTCCCGCGGTGTCTCCCGCGGTGTCTCCCGCGGTGTCTCCCGCGGTGCCTCCCGCGGTGTCTCCCGCGGTGCCTCCCGCGGTGCCTCCCGCGGTGCCTCCCGCGGTGCCTCCCGCGGTGTCTCCCGTGGTGTCTCCCGCGGTGTCTCCTGCGGTGTCTCCTGCGGTGTCTCCCGCGGTATCTCCCGCGGTGTTTCTCGCGGTGTCCACGCGGTGTCCACGCTCAGATTGTTCGTCGTCCACCCCAACCCACCGTGACGGTTCTCAGAGCAGATGCTCTGAAGGATCTCGTGCCGTGACCTCCCCCTCCTCCGACGCGATCGCCGTGGCCGTCGGAACGACTTGAGCCGTGCTCCGCTTTGTACTTGAACGGGGGATCGGCAGCGTGCGGCTCTTCAAGGGCCGCTTCGTTACGTTATTTATTGACGACCGCCGTCTCGTATTCACCACGTTGCATTGCGGATATTGAAGTGTTGAGTTTTTACCGAATTGTTTTGGTTTGCCGACCCCAGGGCCCGACGGCGGCGCTCGTTTGGTGTCCACCCTCGATTGGATTTGTGGACACGGGTTAGAGACGTTCAGCCTCGAGCTGTTTTTGCGAGAAAGATCCACAGAGGGCCTTGGTGAAAGAAACGAAATAAATCTGAGCTTTTGTAGACGCTTGAGTAGCCGAACGCATTGGTGCACCACTCGATTAACGCCGGCAGTTGGCGCAGAAACAGCGCCAACTCGTGTGGGCATCGCCAACCTGCACGTGCGAGAGATGGGAGCTCTTAATCAAGGACGGAATATAAAGAGGCCAGAGGGGATTTGAGCCAAAAACCACGAAGTGAGGGAGCGGCAGATCTCGCACTGGTCCGGTAGCCTGGCGGCCTGGTGTCTGTGACCCACGAATGCGTCGCACTCGCATGCCGACAGGCGGGCCCAAGCACTGTGCCCGGGTCTCACCCCCGATTAGCACGGTTGGACATAGGGTACACGCGTACAACCCGTACGGCAAACGTCTCGGTGGATCGGCCACCAGGGCCTTGCCCCCGCATCGATTGATTGCCTTGCGCGCTTTCGCCAGTCTCCTGACCGGCACAGAGCTCCGTCCGTGCGGCCCCACGCATCGCACGCCGGGGTCAGGAGGTGCCGCGTCCTCTCCGGTTAATCGGACGCGAGATTCACCGGTGTCGTAGCGGAGCGCTATGCTGCGCCGGTCACCACCGAGCCGAGGTGGCGATTGGTGCGCGGCGGTTAGCGTGCGGCTGGCGATCTGCTGCGCGGGGCGAGGTGCTTGCGGAGGGAATCGCGTCGGAGGCGCAGAGAGGAGGGCCTGGATTCGTGTCCCAACCCTGTCGTTTGGCCGTGTGCGGCCTGTGTGCTCTCTCTCCCTTTGTTCTGCATGGGGTTCGTCCAGGCTCTCCAGTTTCCTCCCATAGCTAAACAATGACAAGACAAAGATTCCCCCCCCCCCCCCGTATAGCCTTCACAGACTTTTGGGGTAAGTGCTGCTAGCGGCATACGAGGGGGTGGGTGGCCAACACCACGCCCGGCTGCCTTTTTTTACACACAACACCAGGCAGTCATTTGAGTCTGAGTCGACCTAGGGGTGGCCCAGGACTGGTTCAGATAATTGTCACTGGTGTTGGCCGTGAGTGGGAATCGAACTTGAGTCACAAGGTTCGTAGTGCAGCGAGTTAACTGCTACACTACCGCTCGGCACACACACATACAATGTAGCTGGTATAGGCCAAGACATCCCAATGTTGTAAAAAATACCTAAAAATTACCCAATTGTAATTCAGAATCTGAATATTTATTTATACTGCAAGAGGAATCCGCTGAGCTATGAAGATCTTTTTCACAGATGTCCTGTAGGTGCGGATCAGAACGTTACAATAACAGACTACACAATAGTAGTGCAAAGTATAGGAAAGGTAAACAAATCACTTAAATTGTCTGACCCATTGGAGGCGAGCAGAGTGACTGAGTGACGGCAGATGGCGGCAACAGAGCAGCGGCGGAGATACCCGCGCTGCGTCCGCTCAGCGCGCAGGGACCGTTGGCTGCGGGGAGGTGGAGCCTCCACTCGCGAGTCGTGAGGAGCCTCCACTCGCGAGTCGTGAGCCAGCGGAGCCGGCGAGGGGCCGACTCGACCCCGGCGTGAGAGACGAAGGGATGGGCCCGAGTCTCGCCGGTGGCCTCGGGCTCCACACGGTTCCGTGCCAGACATCCGAGGTGGGGCAGTCGGGTGTCCTCGCGATGGCATCGCCGCCCCCGTACGTAGGGGAGCGGCCGCCGTCGAGGGTTCGTGCTTTCGAGGATTCGTCCGGAGGGACGTACGTCTAGGCGTTCGTGCGGGGGTCGTCCTCGCCGAGGTCCGTTTGGGGTCGGAGCGGATTGCAGGGGTAGACGCGGCTCGCGCGGAGCCACAGAGTCACGCTTGCAGCGTGGTGAACTCGCCCTCCGATGACCTCTGACGCCGCGTTACGTTCGTTGTTTATGTCGCTGGTACG